CGTCGCCGCTGCCGTCCCCGCTCCTCTGGTTCTCCGTTCGTCCGTAGGAGGGCGAGCGGCGCGCTGGAGTTGCGAATAGAGATTTCTATGGCTTACACTATGGATCTTTTTAGACACCGTGCTATAGCTGCCTATGGCTTTTCCTAAGGTTTCCTTAGCCGCCCATTGCTCTTTGTACGTTCCGCTATAGCTCGTTCTATAGTTTGTCCTATGGTTCTCTATAACCATCGTGCTACGCCTATGGCATTTCCTATGGTTCCTTTAGCCGCCTAGAGCTTCTTGTATGGTCTGCTATAGAGATCTCTCTGGCTTACTCTACATATCTTTTAGAGCCAAGCTCTTAGGCGCCCGTCCCCGGGTTGAGCGGCGTCGGCGTCGCCGTCGGCGTAACCGCGAGTAACCCTCGTAACCCTCGTGAGGGTTACGAGGGTTACGAGGGTCAATCTCACGAGGGTTACCCTCACGAGAATCACGAGGGCTACGAGGGTTACTTACCCTCGTAACCGTCACGAGGGTTACGAGGGTTAGTTACCCTCAAAAGGGTTACCCTCACGAGGGTCACGAGGGTTATGAGAGTTACCCTCACGAGGGCCACGAGAGTTACCCTCACGAGAGTCACGAGACTTACCCTCACGAGGGTCACGAGAGTTACCCTCACGAGGGTCACGAAAGTTGCCCTCACAAGGGTTACTAGGGTTACCCTCAGGAGGGTCACGATGGTTACCCAGGTCACGTGACCCCCCGGGGTCACGTGATCTGGGGATACCCCCAGAGGTCACGTCTCCCCAGAGGTCACGTGACCCCCCGTTGACGTCATCGCCACTGATGACGTCAACAGTGACGTCACTGATGACGTCACCAGCATCCGGATCGTCATCGGCATCATCACTGATGACGTCGTCAGTGACGTCACTGATAACGTCACCGGCATCTGCATCGTCAACATCACTGATGACGTCACTGATGACGTCACTGGCATGCGCATCGTCATCATCACCATCACTGATGACGTCATCAGTGACGTCACTGATGACGTCATTGGTATCCGCATCGTGATCGTCACTGATGACGTCATCGGCATCGTCACGTGACCCCCAGGTCACGTGACCCCCCTCCGACGTCACGTGACACCCCAAGGTCACGTGACTCCCACAAGGTCACGTGACCCCCCCCCCCGCCCCCCGAGGTCACTTGACCCAACCGCCCCAGTACCCTCCCCTCCTCCTCCTCAAGAGCTGCACTCCAAGTCGGCTTTGATTTTTTGATTTTTTAGACACCGTGCTATAGCTGCCTATGGCTTTTCCTGTGGTTTCTTTAGCCGCCTATTGCTCTTTGTATAGACCGCTATAGCTCACTTTATAGTTCGTCCTATGGTTCTCTATACCCATCGTGCTACAGCTGCCTATGGCATTTCCTATGGTTCCTTTAGCCGCCTATAGCTTCTTGTATGGTCTGCAATAGAGATTTCTATGGCTTACTCTATGGATCTTTTAGACACTGTGCTATAGCTGCCTATGGCTTTTCCTATAATTTCTTAAACCGCCTATTGCTTTTTGTATAGTCCGCTATGGCTCACTCTTAAGTTAGTCCTAAGGTTCTCTATACCCATTGTGCTACAGCTGCCTATGGCATTTCCTATGGTTCCTTTAGCCGCAGATAGCTTCTTGTATGGTCTGCTACAGAGACCTCTATGGCTTACTTTATGAATCTTTTTAGAAACCGAGCTATAGCTGCCTATGGCTTTTCCTACGGTTTCTTTAGCCGCCTATTGATCTTTGTATAGTTCCCTATAGCTCATTCTATAGTTCGTCCTATTGTTCTCTATATCAATCGTGCTACAGCTGTCTATGGCATGTCCCATCTTTTCTTGTGCCGCATATAGTTTCTTGTATGGTCTGCTATAGAGATCTGTATGGCTTACTCTATGGATCTTTATAGACACCGTGCTATAGCTGCCTATGGCTTTTCCTAAGGTTTCTTTAGCCGCCTATTGCTCTTTGTACGGTCCGCTATAGCTCGTTCTATAGTTCGTCCTATGGTTCTCTATAACCATCGTGCTACAGCAGCCTATTGCATTTCCTATGGTTCCTTTAACCGCCTATAGCTTCTTGTACGGTCTGCTATAGAGATCCCTATGGCATACCATATGGATCTTTTTAAACACCGTGCTAAAGCTGCCTCTGGCTTTTCCTATGGCTACTTTAGCCGCCTATTGCTCTTTGTATAGTCTGCTAGAGCTCACTCTATAGTTCGTCCTATGGTTCTCTATACCCATCATGATACAGCTGCCTATGGCATTTTCTATGGTTCCTTTAGCCGCCTATAGCTATTGTTCCGCGTTTTCGGTTTCTATTTTTTCAAAATTCGGCGTATTTTTTTCGGTGTTGTTTTTAAAAATAAATTTTAGGTTTTGTTTCCGCGTATATTTAGGCCAACAAAAGATTATTGGCTTTTTTGCTGAATATAAAATAAACACCAACGGACGCCGGATGAGGTGATCCTTCTAGCTCTGACATTTGTGATCACTCAAAGAATAACGTCACAGATACTCTGAAAAATAAGTTAACACTTTATTTGGCAAATGTGTGCAACTGTAAAAGAAACAAGAAAATAAACAGAAGTACAAGCAAGTGAGATACGAAGCCTACGTCGAAAAAAACATGGAACTTCACCTTCTGTACATCAGGATTATGTAATCTTATTATAGTGCACACACATGTACTTTTCCAAGTTCTCCTCGTTGATCGGCACTCTTTCTTTCCGGTTAATATGACCCTGAGCTTCGAGAATGCCCACTTAACGCTAACACTGGACACTGGCAGGCTCAGAAGATGAAGCACTGCCTGAGCCAAAATCGGCCAATCAACCAATTGTGACCGCCAAAAGAGACACGCTGTGACATTTCGAAGCACAGCACAAGATGCAGAGCTTCCACCAAGTCAGTCTTCCTTACAACGAGTTCGAAAACACGCTCCTACATGGCGAAGTAATGGGGCATTTCGGGCTTCACGTTCCGATCGATGATCGCATTAAATCAAAATGTCGTGATGGCATCCGTGTGTATCCCATACATTCGGACACGTTTCGATAGACACTGTCGTTCCACTTTTTCGCCACGGCTCTGCGGTACGACTGGAAGATCATAGTGACCTTTTGCGGTTAAAACTGAATTTAAAAAATGGATTCGACGTACTTTTGTTGTTTTTTTATCGGCAATATAACTGAGAACATTGCAAAGCAAACAAGAACCAAAGGCAATTCCTGGGTAGTGTCTAGTCTCTCGGCAGCTGGCCAAATCCCCCCCCCCCCCCAAAAAACAAAAATAAATTCTACCGCCAGTCGCCACTCATTGGTGCTGCAATCAGTTCATCGAACGACGTTTTATCGACAGATCGTTTCATCAACACGTAATGTGTATAAACAACTCAATATATATATATTGTAGCGAAGACGACGCTGTGCGATGGGACCGGGGAAAAAGAAAACGATCGCGCGCGCCCTTTTTTTTTTGATTCTCGGCTAAGAGGCTGGGCAGACGGTAGTAAAAGCGGACCTGTCCTGACTCCCACCGCCTGGTCTGCCTTGTACGGTACAAGTGGTGGAGGAGCGGGCTTCCCCACCTACCTCGACGTCAGCCGTGGAGCTGAGAAGCCGAGCCCTCACATCGACAACATCAATGCCGCATCCCTCTGTCGGAATGAATACCACCAGAACTTCCACGGCCACCCAACCCGACAGCACGGCCGCATCGGTACTCACCGCTTGCCAACGTGAGCCTCCCTTATTCTCCGGAATCGGGGACGCCGACGTGGACGACTGGATTGACGCTTACGACCGCGCCAGTCGATACAATCAGTGGAGCGATGTCACTAAGCTGACCACCGCGGTTTTCTACCTATCCGATGTTGCAAAACTGCGGTACCTCAACCACGAGCAAGAATTTGACAGCTGGGCGACATCCGCTACCCGCCTTAAGGAAGTTTTCGGAAGACCTACAATGCGACAGATTGTGGCCGAGCGAAAGCTGTCCTCGCGGGCCCAGCAGCCAACGGAAACCTTCACGTCCTACATCGGAGACATGCTGGATCTTTGCCGCCAAGTTGATATCAACATGAAAGAACCCGAAAAGGTCCGTCATCTTTTAAAGGGAATCGCCGAGGATGTTTTCCAAGTTATCCTTGTGAGTAATCCAACCACCGTTAGCAAGATTGTGGAAATCTGTCAGCAGTTCCACGAACTAAAAACCCAACGCTTGGCCTCAGCCGCTACAGTACAACGTCTTCCTGAGGTGAGCAGTATATCGGGGCCATCAACATATATCAACATCAACAGTTTGCGCCAGCTCATCCAGCAGATTGTTCGCGAGGAGGTTTCGCAAGCTCTCCAACTCACACAGCCGTCAACTACACCAACACAATCGGCACTCCGGTCCCTCGTCCAGAACGAGATTGCGTCTACCGTGCCTATACCCTCGCCGCTTACAGTACCGGCACAGCCCATGCTGCCGACCTACGCAGAAATTGCAGCTTCACCTCCAATGCTCCGACCTCATTATCCTGCTGTAACCATGCCATACGTACAACCCTTTGGATACACTCAACCACACCAGCAGGCTACTCGCCCACAGCTCTACAACCGCCCTACCTGCTATTACTGTGGCATACCAGGACACGTTATGCGCGTATGCCGTCGCCGCCAAGCCGAAGAGTCTGCAAACGTCCATACAAGCATCACTGCGAACCCCACCCATTATAACCAGACTCCCGGATACACCCGGTCAAACTCTCCAACCACAAGGTTCGTCGGTAGTTCACCGGGATTTTTGCGTCAACAGTCGCCATCACCGCAACGTCACCGCTCAACGTCCCCTATGGTCCCCTCAGGGTCCACTGCTCCATCACAAAGGGGAAACTTTAAACCGCAGCTCCTGAGGCACCAGGAACGGGATACGGCTACTTTTAACCGCAGCTCCTGAGGCACCAGGAACGGATACGGCTTCGCTCCTCGGGCCCACTGGCGGGGATCCCTGGACTGGCCGGGGGCTTGGCACGGGGGGTTCAGATGGGGCGCGTGAAGTTGGCTGGGAACAGGCCTTTTTCTCCGAAAGACTCCTTGATTCCCATGAGCCAGCCTTCCTCCTCCTCCTCAGGGTCGTCATACTCAATCACCCTGATGATCTCTCCACTTTCAATGTTGAGTTCATCCACATCCTCGGCCGTGTACTTGTAAGTGGCACGCACGCTGTAAAGGACTCCAGCTGGGAGGTCGGTAGTGGTGGCCCCAACAGGGATGTCGTACAGTTCTTCCAGGTTCCTGTCAGCGTGGTGCTCCTTGTTGATCTGGGCCCCAACGTCGACGGGCTCGTAGTCCTTCTCATCCCTCTTGCGGGCCACGGGTGCCTGGCCATTGTGGTCCCCCGTGTAGCTGCTCCGGTAGCCCGGGGTGTTCACAAAGGAGGAATCCTCCTGCTCCAGGCGGGCAGCGCTGCGTACAGGCGATGCCATTAGGGGAGGGGTGCTGAGCTGGCCATTGGTTTCGGTAACCTTGATGGAAATGTCGCTGGCACGATTGTTCTTACCCTTCTTGAACTCAATCTCCTCGTAGGGCCGGGTGTCAGCCTCCTTGGAGACCGAGTTGGGCAGGCCGTGGGGGCTCCTGTGGAAGGCAGAGCTAGAGGACAGCTGGGGCCCCTCCAGGGCCAGCTTCTGCATCGCCTCCACCAGGAAGGCAAACACCGTCGACTTCTCCGCATGGAACGTGCCCCTTCTAACGTCGTCGTAATCCAAATTGAAAGTCAAAACGTACAAGCATTAATTGATACAGGCGCCTCTATTTCCGTTATGCGCTTAGATCTCTGTCGACGCCTCAAGAAAGTCGTGACACCGTTTGAAGGTAATATCAGAACTGCAGGACCAAACTTACTTAAACCCGTCAAACTTTGTACAGCACGGATTATAATACAGGGCCTATTATATTCAGTTCAATTCGTCGTCCTCTCATCATGCACACATGAAATTATTCTTGGCTTTCTATTACTCATGCAATCATTTTTTGCGGGAATTCCCAGTTTTCCCTCCAGGAATTGCCTGATGACGACCAGCATGTTTCTGCGCTGGTAAACAAAGTACGAGCATCAGAAGACACTGTTATTACGCCTCGAAGTTCATCTTTCGTTCTCATTAATTGTTGTTCACTCTCACCGGGAGATTACTTCATCACGCCCACTTCTGCCTTATTGGAAAAAAAAGGTTTGCTCGTCCCACGTGGCATCGCCCATATTGGCCCAGTGTCGACGTACATCAACATAATCAACGTTACACCCGAGTCCATACTAATACCGGAGCACACAGTTCTAGGCACCGTAACATTGGCGACTGACATCGATATCATTGCCCTCAACGACACACCCTCCTCGCAACCGTTTTCCCAAGATCCTATCAAAGAAAATGATGCTTTCCATCGCCTTTCGAATACCATCGACAGGAACCTCACCGGTCATCAAAGAGCACAAATGCTAAGTCTCTTAAAATTGTATCACAAACTTTTCGATCTAAATGACCTACCTTTAGGCACAGTTTAAACAGCTGAGCATACGATAGACACGCAGGGTCATAGTCCCATCCGAACACGTCCTTACAGGGCCTCAACGAAAGAAAGAGAGATAATAGAGCAACAAGTGACTGAAATGTTGCAAAAAGAAGTAATCAGAAAGTCTTCAAGTCCTTGGTCCTCTCCTGTGGTCTTAGTAAAGAAAAAGGACGGCAGTATTCGCTTTTGTGTGGACTATCGCCGCCTCAACAAAATCACGACCAAAGATGTGTACCCCATTCCACGAATTGATGACGCCTTAGATTGCCTCCAAGGCGCTGAATTTTTTACATCGCTGGATTTAAAATCGGGATATTGGCAGATTCCAATGAATTCAACTGACAAACCCGAAACCGCATTTATCACGCCAGACGGTTTATACGAATTCAATGTTATGCCGTTCGGCCTATGCAATGCCCCGGCCACCTTCGAACGCCTGATGGATACTGTTCTTCGAGGATTGAAGTGGCAAATCTGCCTTTGCTTTTTAGATGACATTGTTATTTTTGCACCAACGTTCGCAGTTCATCTGGAACGTGTGGCCACAGTTCTATCGTGCATTGCAAACGCGAATTTAAAACTAAACACCAAAAAATGTCACTTCGCAGCAAGAGAAATCAAAATGATAGGCCACGTAGTATCGAATAAGGGTGTTCAACCTGACCCGGACAAAATTCAAGCTGTCACCGAATGTCCTATCCCCAAAACACTTAAGGAGCTTCGCAGTTTTCTAGGTCTTTGCTCAAATTTTCGGCGGTTTGTCCAAGGATTCGCAACGATCGCCGCCCCCTTACAGACGTTATTGGACACAACAAAGCATTTTCATTGGACTCCAGAGTGCCAACATGCCTTTAATCAGCTCTTTGCTCGTTTGACACAAGACCCAATCATGTGTCATTGTGACCCCTCAGCCCCCACTGAGATCCACACTGATGCCAGTGGTTATGGGATAGGCGCAGTCCTGATACAACGAAAATCACCCCAATTTGAAAACGTTGTAGCATATGCTAGTTGCACCCTCTCGAAGGCTAAACTTAACTATTCGACAACTGAAAAAGAATGTCTAGCAATTATCTGGGCTTCTGCCAAATTTCGACCATACCTGTACGGCCGGCACTTCAACACTATCACGGACCATCACGCCCTTTGTTGGCTCACGTCATTAAAGGACCCCTCTGGACGTTTGGGACGCTGGTCACTTCGACTACAGGAGTACGACTTTTCAGTGACACATAGATCCGGACGCAAGCATCAAGACGCCGACGCGCTTTCACGTTGTCCTCTACCGACGATCGAAACTCAAGACGACGACAACCCCATCTCATTGGCTTCTCTCTCTCTCGATACGGTGGCACAAGAACAACTTCAAGATCCTGGTACTGCCGCCCTCGTGCAACATATCACAGGTACATCCACTTCCGACAACCACAAGTTTTGCAAACGAGCGCGACATTTTTCTGTTCGAGATGGCCTCTTGTACCGCCGTAACTACTCCACCGATGGTCAGCGATGGTTATTAGCACTTCCTCGGCAACTTCGTATGGATGTGCTACGGTGCTTCCATGACGATCCAACGTCTGGCCATCTTGGCATCTCGAAGTCCTACCAACGTGTACGTGGCCGATAGTACTGGTCCGGCATGTATCGCTCCATACAAAAGTATGTTCGTTCTTGCCTACTCTGCCAACAACGGAAACAACCGCCCCAGCAGCCAACTGGCTTGCTACAACCCATACCTTTTCCCGAGAAACCATTTGAACAACTGGGAATTGACCTGTATGGTCCTCTTCCCAAATCATCGCAAGGTCGCAAGGAAACCACTGGGTTGTCGTCGTCATTGACCATCTGACACGCTACGCTGAGACTGCCGCCCTGCCCCACGCAGATTCTCGCGAAGTTGCGTCCTTTATTTTACATAGTATAGTACTGCGGCATGGATCTCCTCGCAAGCTACTCAGCGACAGGGGAACAGTTTTCCTATCCCAAGTTGTCGAAAACATTCTAAGAGAGTGTAATGTTATTCATCGTTGCGCGTCCGCCTATCACCCCCAGACCAACGGCCTTACGGAACGTTTTAATCGCACACTTTCATATATGCTTTCCATGTATGTCTCCCAGGACCACGACAACTGGGACCGTATACTACCTTTCATCACTTTCGCCTACAACACCGCCACTCAAGACACGACACACTACTCCCCTTTTATCCTCACATATAATCGCGAAGTGTCATGCACACTGGACACAATCCTGCGTTATCGACCAGATGTTACCGAGCATATCACCTTTGCCGAAGACATGAACCGCGCAGAAGAATGTCGGCAGTTAGCTCGTTTTCGCATATCTGAGCATCAGAACCACGAAAAGCACCGTTATGATGATCATCACCGTTCCGTAACCTACAACAAAGGCGATTTGGTGTGGGTATGGATGCCCATGAAACAGCCTGAACTTTCTTCGAAACTTCTTCGCAAATATCATGGCCCTTACAAAGTCCTAGAATCAACGTCACCAGTCAACTACAAGGTGGAACCCGTCCCCCCTCCCACCGATCGTCGCCGTCACCATCGAGAGATCGTTCACGTGTCACGGATGAAGCCCTACTTCTCCTCAGACCCCCCAACTCCTTCTGCCAGGACGGCAGCATCTTGATCGGGGGGAATTGTAGCGAAGACGACGCTGTGCGATGGGACCGGGGAAGAAGAAAACGATCGCGCGCGCCCTTTTTTTTTTTTTATGCTCGGCTAAGAAGCTGGGCAGACGGTAGTAAAAGCGGACCTGTCCTGACTCCAACCGCCTAGTCTTCCCTGTACGCTACAATATATATATATATATATATATTTTTTTTTTTTTTTTTTGTAATGAGTCGTTGCAGACCCGCCAAGAATTGGCGTGAACGGGTGGGCTGAATCGGTGAGCACGCGCCTCAGGAATACAGGCGCGACGAAACGTCCCTGCAGCGTGCAGTTCGCGTAACGAGTGTCGACGAAACGTTAGTGTCGACTAAACGTGTGTCCAAAAAACGTGAATCCACGAAAAGGTGTCCATGAAACGTGTTTTCACAAAACGCAGGGAGTATAAGAAAGTCAGTATTCTAACTGCAATTTTCACATGATTTCAGACAGCTAATGGCAGGCGACTGCGGTAGAATTTCGGGGAAAAGTATTTTCCCAGCTGTCAGAAGATAGGCACTGCCAGGAGATAGACACTACAGAACGGTCAATTGTCGCCGAGTAGGTTGCAGCGCACTTCCGTTGAAAATACCGGACTTCAAAGATGTAATCCGAGACTGTCGACACCGGCACTGCAGAAAAACCACTCAAACACAAAACCGAGAAGGAAGGGAT